ATTGGTGAAAAGCTACCGCCTTTACCAACAGAAGTTTCGTTTCTAATTTTCATAGTTGGAAGTCTATTATTTTTATCAACAGATAATCCATTATATATGTGTGTGTGTGTGTGTCAACCTTTCACCAATGATTTTTCGTTGATGAAGAATAGTTAATATTATCAATGAAATTGTCGTTGCTGATATTAATCAATTTTAATAATTAAAGAAAGTTTAATCATTCGCCTACCCAATATCCGTAGTTGAAAGATAATCAATTAAAAAAAAAGTTTCAACCTGTTTGGCAACCGATATTCCGTAGGTGAAGAGTAATTGATATTACCTTTAGAATAATTTGTTCCTACTGTATCATTTAACATTAGTATGTTTTACCTATGGTTATTCCGTAGACGACGTAGATCACTTTTTTGAAACAAAAATCTTTCAAATTTTCACATACAAAATTTTTAGTGAAGATAAATTGATAGTACCAACAAAAAGCCCGTAGTTGAAGGGCAATCAATTTTTTCAAAAAAAGTTGCAACCTCTTCACGGGTGGATATTCCATAGGTGAATATTAATTCATATTACCTACGAAAAATATGTTCATAATATTAATCAATTTTTTTTTCTTAAAAAAATAATAACTGAAAGTTTGAAGTTGGATGGAAATCAATTATTTTATATATAAAAAAAGTCAGCTTCTTCACCAACGGATATTTTGTAGGTGAAGATTAATTCATATTATATACGAATATCCGTTGTTGATATTAATCAATTTTGAAAACTAATATTTTTAAAATTAATGTCGTCACCAATAGATATTCCGTAGGTGAAAGAGTAATCATATTATTTCGACCATTAACCTATAAAAAAATTGGTGATTAAGGTAAATCATTCTTGAAAGTGGTAAAAGGTTTGACATAGTTGGAGGTGATGGTTAATTGCTTAAAGAATAGCCGTAAATTAAGTTTAATTCATTTCATGTTCGGATTTTGTGATAGAGAATAATTAATTACAAACATAGAAAAGATCAATTTAATCAGGTGTGAAAATTTTATAGAAGTATTTTTACCAACTGTGCAATATCCCTTCCGTTGGGATTTGCATTCACC